GTGGCTGGGGAAGGGGGGCGTGAAGAGACAAAATAAGGCCTCTTGGTGAACTTTTTGCTCTTTCTTCGCAGCCCTTGGTAGTCGGGTCCATGTTTGCCCTTTGCAGTGGGACAGAACCAGTGTTCCTATCGCACAGAGGGGTTTATGTTCTCCCTCAGTATCCTTTGGCCCCGTTGGCAGCAGCAGTGCATGGTGACAGCTCAGATGACGTTCATGCTTGACCAGAGACGAGGAGGAACTCTCTTAAACATGTAAATTGTTTATTTAGTTTGAACATGTGAATATTCTAGGAGCTATGGAGAGCCTGTATATCAGTAAAAATACTTGGTTTTCATCTACCAGGTAACATAATGTCTTTCCTTATGAGGAAATGTATACCCATATATACTGTGCCACCTTCTGTAGGCTTTGGTCGGGAGTCACTTGTGTCATTTTTGTAGTTGCATAGACGTAACAGCTGGGTTTGTGGGAGTGTAGTCCCGGTGCAGGGATAGAACTGGACTGCAACAGCCTGATTTAATTTGGGAGAGGATGATGTGCTGGTCTTGTTTGGTCCTGTGGATTTCCTTTGGTTTGTGAGACGAGCGGGCAAGCTTCTGCGTCATTCTGTTCTGTAGAAGTAGGTCTTGGGTATGGATGGACACACGTTTTCCTGATTTCTTTTCAGGGAATTTCCCCACTTCCTTTCAAATGCAAGCACTCTCTCGCCTGTAATTAGACTATCCCATGTATTTTATTTTTTTTTTACTTTTTACAATAAGGGAAAACAGTGAACTTGGCAGTATTGATTTTTGCTGCTTCCCTTCCCTCTCCAGAGCGCTTAAGATATTTTTAGAGGCTTTCATCTCTGAGCTTTTTGGGGAGAGAACAGCATCCACCAATACATCAGCTGTCAGCATTCAGCTTCTTGAAGTCTTGGCTTTCTAGCCCGGAGCTCAGGGCTTTTTTTTCATTATGGCTTGCTCAGGATTCATGCACAGTGAAGGTAAACACTGGAGCTGGGGTAGGGGGAAGAAGGGGAGAATTTAAAAAGCTTTGTTTTACAAGCTTTCCAATAGAAATGCATGTGATGAAGACACAGGGTAGAAAATAGCCCCAGGAGAGGAACATGATGACTGAAAACCTGAAGGTCTACGTGCAGTGGAATCTAAGAAGCTGAATTAAGATTGAAATAAGCCCCACATGTTTTGGGGTCAGTGCAGCCTGAACTGAGTATCTGAACAACAGGATGCAATAGATTTGTGTAGAAAATTCCACATACAGCCTCAGGAGTCAGGGAGCAGAGAGGTCAGGTCAGGCTGGTGCTGTATGTCCGGTTCACAGAGAGGGAAATGGTTAAATTACCACAAAGGGACTTTTGAACTGTAACTCGTGAAAATGTGTAGCAGAGCATTGACAGGTCTCTACCAGAAAATTGGACAGATTCTTTTCCTTTTGTGGCATTTTATTAAGCTTTCAAGCGCTCAAGATAACGTCTGATGATTTGGTGGTATTTGCCTAGTGAGAAGGCTCAGAGCAAACTTGTCATCTCTGATGATTTTCTTCTTGTCTTCATTCACCTCCTTTGGGTGAAAGTTTCCTGAGCTTTTTCCACCTGCAACAAGACAGGCTGCTGTGGAGGGACACGCACTCCTATTTTGTTGCTCCTAAGAAGCACATCAAATAAAAAGTGAAAGAAAGCAAGAAATTAATGCAGTATCCTGGTGAGTGGAGTTTGGTAGCCGATTGGAGACTGGGAACAAAATCTTTAAACAGTGGATTTATGAAGCTTTTTTTTTTTTTTAAATTAAATGAAGATATTTTAAGAGAAAAGTGAGGATGAGTAGAAACGGAGAGATGAATTGTAAATTCCTCAGGGATATAGCAGTGTTCAGTATTAAAACTTCATTTCATGTGAATGATAATCTAAAAACTATTTCTGAAGGAGAGCTTTTAAAAAAACACAAATCCTGCTCAGCCAGATTCTGAAATACAGTTGATTATAGCATGGACTGGAAACACTGAGCAAAACAAAAAATACAAAACTATTTTTAATCATTTAGATAAATGATATTTCTTTTTGCTAAATCCAACATTTGCACTTGTTTGGTTTTTTCCTCAGTGAACGAATCCAGATTTTTTTCACTTGGATGTAGTTTTATTTTTAAACACGGCTTCCAGAAATGCATGCGTGTGGGATTGCAATTGGGACCAGTGGAGAGCCGTGGCGCTCTGCCAGGCGCTCGCCCTGTCCCTGCAATATAGATGGATTGCCAGCGTTCTGGAGAAAAACAACCCCAAAACTTTAAACAAATTATGCTTAATGGAAATAAACTTTTTTTGCCCTCCTGGGTAATGATTTGGATAATGTGCTGGCTGTGTGTTTCTGGAGGACAGGGGAAGGGGAGAGGAGGCCAGAGATGGTGTTCTGTATGCCTATAACTTGCGCTCCAGTGGATACTCTGGGAAGTCAATGGGGTGGACTGGGAGGTTTCTAAGCTTGGAGCATTTTTTTAAACTCCCAGCCTGTCTTTCTATTAGAAGGTGAGCAGGTTAGCTACAGCCAGCTATGATAAGAGCATTTATCTAGAGGTTGTTTTCTTCCATATATGGCTTTCTAAGACCTGGAAAGGGATATGCCTTGTGTCTGGCATTTTCTGTGTACAATTTTGGCGTTGTCTTTCATGTCATTCACTTGATTTCTGCTGGGTTTTGAGGGTAAGTGATAATAGCATGAAACCAATACCTGGTTTTCTTTTTTTTTTTTTTTTTTATATAAAAAAGGGCAAGCAGAGTAGGCTGTAGCCTACTTCACAGAAGAAAGGGCACCATAGCCATATCTCTCTGTTTTTTCAAGCTGGTGCTGATAAATCTTTTCTCTCATTTCTGTTGCTATGGTGTTAGTTCTGTGCAAAAACAAACCTTTGGGTGATCATGTCAAATGCAAAGATTGTTTGAAGAGAGAGATGCTGAAAGAGAAGGGAAGTAGGAGGGCTCAAATTCCAGCTGATGACAAACAATGAATCAGTGTTTGTCTCAGCAGAGGGCCATCAGAAATTTTGCACTCTACTTTCAGACTTCTGCTTGGATCTGATACTCCACTTGAAAAGGCTTCTTTTTCCCCCTCAAACCTTTTTTTTTTTTTTCTTCTTCTCTTTCTTTTACTCTTTTTTCTTCTTGGTGTATAAAAGGAAGGTGGATCTCTTCCAAATTCCGCACAGCCCAGGGATATTTGCTTTCTGCAGCATAGCCCAGAACACAGAGAACTTATTCTTGCAAACAGTTTGATCCTCCAATCCGCAAAATACTGGATCCAATTTTGAAGGTTTTTGTGGTTGAAACGTACCTGCTGTTCTTGTTGAGCCAATTGGAAGTGGTCATTGAACTTCCTACTGGAGGAGCTGCCTTAATGTGCTGTAATTTCTAGCATTGCTTTCCTGGTGAAGGAGAAGCAGAGAACTATTATGGGGGGCCCTTTTTAACACTTTCCAATGTGCAAAGTAGGTGCATTTGGTTTTGTTCTCAAAATATGCCAGTTGCTTTTAGCTGGCACAGCTGTTGTGAAGAAGTTATCTTGGACAGATGTCTTATGCTTCTGGAAAACACTGTGCTGAAAATGCCTGGATATGCCTTGGAGGTTACTTCTATTCCTGGGTCAAGGCTGAAGGGAGAAGTGTTTTCTTGTTTTTTGAATGTTTCTGTGCAGATTGAGCTGCAACTGCAGGAATAATGTAAAGGGGTAACCAATCAAATACTTATTTGCTTCTCTCTGTTTTTCAAACTGGAAGTCCTGAAAATGAGGATTAATTCACATTTTTTACCTTGGCAACTGGGAACTTTCTGACGCAGTTAAATGGAACCTTTGTTTTGCTGCTTCCTTCCAGATGTGATAGGCAGATGAAAAAACCTCAGGAAAAGCAGTGTGGTCATCAGAGATTTCTTTTAAGGGTATTAACTGATTTTTCTGAAACTTGGTTGCAGAAGCAGATCATCTCCTTCCATGTCCTTAGCCAAGCTGCAGTTTACTTTGTTTTGCCTTGATTGTGCAGACTCTTTTGCTCGCCTTTAGCCTTCATGCTGCACTACCTGTGGGAGTAAAAACGTAAGTGCCAGGACAGCCAGACCTTCTGTGGACTGTCTCTCCCAGCCACAGCTTACTGGTCACGAGCATCCACATCAAGTCTGGCTTGTTTGTCTTTACCATTGCATAATCTTCGCAAGCAGAGAGTCTGCTGCCCACCTGTGAACAGTGTCTCTGTTAGTCTCCTCGGATTACAGATGCACATCGTGTTTTCCAGTTGTATTAGAATCTACGTAAGTACTTCAAAGATAGTACTATAGCCTCAAGCTGCAACTGTTAGTAGGAGCATACAGGTGGTTTCTGTTGGAAAGAACTGGCTGTCTTTTGGTTTGCTTTTGTGCTATGGGCAACTTCAGTTATTCTACTCGAGTAAGCCTTGCCCAGATAAGGGTGCCTACCCAAGAAAAGCAATTTGCCTACGTGGATCAGTTAGATTAACAACTAGCAAATTATTCTAAGGCCGCTAGATCTTTACTGTTTTAGTTTTATTGGTGCTTGACCTCCAGCCATCCTGTCTTATTGTTACCTTCCTTAAGGCACTCCTTAATTGAAAGCAGGGCCATTTCTGTAGGATGAGAATCTTATTAGGACAAAACTCAAGCCAATGAGACAGTGAAGACCAGGCTTCTATTGAAACAGAGGATCAGCAGCCTCTTCTGGCCAGCTCTCCTCTCGCTCCTGTGTCCCCCACCCCCATCTCTGCCAGAGTTGAATAAAAGTGATAGCAGCAATGGAAAGGAGTATGCATGTAACTGGAAAATCAGATGCTAAGTTTAGTTTAGTGAGCACACGTCCGTCTTTCGTTTCAAAGATGGTCCCGGTTTGCAGTGTTCAAGGTTAAGTTGCCACTGGTGCAGTAGATCTCACAATTGGTTGAAGAGCAGTGCTTGATAATGTAGCAGCTTTCGTGCTGTGGGCAGCCCGATGTGTTGGCTGGAACATGAGCCAGTTCTCATACTTACAGTGTTCAAATGTGGTAAGTAGCTTCATGGGATCATTAAGATTGGTAGGACCTTAGGGGTACGTAATACATCATCTTGATCAAAGCAGATTCAGCATTAAATTTAGACTAAGTTGCTTAGGGCTTTGTCCAGTCAGGTCTTGAAAACCTTGAAGGATAGAGATCCTACAGCCTCTGTGGGACTCTGCTGCAACCAGACTGTTCTTGTGGTGGAATTTTTTTTCCCGATTTCGTTGGAATCTCCACAGTTTTGATTTCTGTCCTGATAAATCTAAGCCCTCGCAATGACGTTGGCCAGTTCTCTTGGTACCCTTGTGTCGTGGTTTGGGCATGCATCCCATCAGGTCCAGTAGCCTTCTTTGCATTAAGATTTCTTCAGGAGATCCCTAACTCAATCCTTTTCCAGTACAAATGGTTCCTCTGCTCCTTGAACCTTGTCTTGGTACTGGGGACCAAGCCCCGTGACGCATCGCCACATGCCTCCCGGTGCTGTCTGGAGCGGAGTTTCTGCACACCCCACCCCATATCTTTGTCCCTTGTCCAGCTAACTGCCAAAGTCTGTTGGTGGGAGTGCTGTGGGAGCTGCATTCCTCCTTACCAGCTAAATAACTGTCCCTGCAGCGGATGAATTTGCATAGATCCTGAGTCACTTGCTTTTCTGTTACCTGTATCATTGTCCCGGGTGCTGTTTTGTGCAATCCCAACGGGCAAAGGGCACAGCAGGCATTCCTTTTATTAGTGGTGTTAATCTTTTGTTGGCTCATTCCTTTTGCATGTACGTGTAAGCACAGGGAAAGATTTTTTGTTCAGAGTGGAGAAGCACAGGAAGGTGTTTGGATGAAGGGTGCTTGCCAATGACATCATTGTTTTTTCATGGGATTAGAGCTACACTGCTGAGAAATAAATGTCTGAGTAAAGTTTTCTGACATTCAGTGAAATGTAAATTTCCAGGGATTTGGTTAACATACCAGAATAAAGGCAGCGTATGAAGTAAATCTATTTTGTGTGGTGGCGACACCTTGGACGGTGGCAGGGACAAGAACCTTAGATCTTCCATGTATTAATAAAAGGTTTCTCTCTGGTTTCTTCAGCTTGACCTCACCAAACCCATTGAAGATCAGGGCCCTTTGGATGTGATCATACATAAACTGACAGATGTCATCCTTGAGGCAGACCAGAATGACAGCCAGTCACTGGAGTTGGTTCACAGGTTCCAGGTAAGTGGTTCTTTCATAGTCCTTTTGCATTGCAAGCAGGAGGGTGATCTCCGTGCAGCAAATTCAGTCTGTTTCCTGTGCAGTTGGTAGGGTTTGATTGGAAGAAAAAAAAAAAAAAAAAAGCTGCCCCGCACACTGCTGCCGTGCTACTGATAGCTCAGCAAAAAGAGTTTTGTCAGCCTAAAATGGACTTACACCTTTGAATAGGTTTTATGTGTATTGGTAAGGTTAGTAGGAACTGGTTTCCCACCAAATGTTGTCCTGGTGTCATTCGAAGAGCGTGAGTGTTGTTCGTAAGAGGAACAGGTGTTTGCAGAGTCCTTTACATGTGTCTCTTCACGGCAGAAGCCACGGAATTAATTTGGCCCAGTTCTGTCAAGTCTTCCCAGTTCCTGGAATGCTAATTTCTAACATCAAGGTTACTGTAAGTGATTCTGTCCTCTAGTGCTGAGAATCCTGTTCTGTTAATTTTTTTTTTCTCAAGTTTATTTTAAAGGTCAGAAATATGCAGGGCACAGTTGTACAGAGAACTGTTTTCCCAAAGAATTCCTATCAGCAGTCTGAATGCTGATGAAAATGATAAAGTAACACCTTTATAATTTTAAAGATGTTGCATCTGGTGTATATTTGATCAAAGGTATATTCTTTTCTTCTCTTTCGAAGAGAAGCAAAATTAAAAAAGATATTTTCAGAGTTATATGGAATATATTTATGTCAGGTGAAAAAACAGCTAAGACAAATTCTGCTATTTTGACAACTTTGCTTTCTTGGGAAATGATGTTCTCTTTGCTCTGCTTAATGTTCTACAACTACTAATGCAGAAAATATTTTACTTAACAGAATCAATATGCTCTTTGCTCTAGTCACAAAGCTTTTCTGCTTTCTCCCACCTGCGTGTTTCTCACACACAGGAGACAAAAAGGTTTGACTTGTGGGTCTGATCCTCTGGCACCAGTTCTCTGAATAGTAGGTGACTATTCATCACTGCAGGCGTCCACTTCCCACAGCACTGGAAACTTACCATAGAATAATAGAATGGTTTAGGTTGGAAAGGACCTTGAAGATCATCAAGTTCCACCCCACCTGCC